AATTTGGAATTTCCGATTTGAAAAGTATGCAGTATTTATGAATTCCTGATTTTCATCATTTGTTGCGGGGAGTAGACCCAATCACGCAGTACAGAAAGTCCTGGAATAGCTGTGCTGAATTTTCAGCGCAATTATGCTTCACAGTAGAAGTTCAGGCTACTTGGGTTATCCAGTGCTCTGAACTATCAGGATGTCGTGAATCCCCTAATGTGCCATGTTTTCCTCGGGATATGAAGGATATGCTTTCCCGGGGCATTCTGTAACTAGTGGTAATTAGTCGATTTATAGGTCTAGAACTATTTTCTAGTTCAACTAAAAAACCTAACATATTGTCTTTGCATTCCGCTTTTATTTCAAGATTTTGTGATTTGGGTTGTGATATTGTATTGAACATTGTCTTCATTTATTGTCAGCACATTGTCTTCATTTATTTCTACATTTTTTAGATGATTATTTGTACGTACGTGCTATGGCTGTGCCACCAGTAATATTCCAATCACTTCTATACATACAGTTCCTTTTAGATTTTTTCTGGCTAGAAAATTGCTTTTGTAAAAACTGCTCTTTAAACCGCTTCAGTTTTTGGAGTGGTAGTTTGTTAGAAGGCAGTAAAATAATTTTTTACTAAAACATTTCTTACTCTTATCTTTCTTAACTTTGTAATCGAACAGACGTTGGTAGTGTTTGGCCTCAGATTAGATCATAGTGTGAGTAAACTCGGACTCAAATGTTTAGTAATAGTGAGCAAAAACGCATATTGTGACGACCATCTTTCTGCATGTGTGTTTGCGTGTATGTGTGCTTGTGTAGTTTTTTCGTTCATTCAGTCATCACCGGGTTTCATAGGGTAATAATTTTGCAGGCAGTGGCACGTTCTATGTAAAAAATGAGTTTAAACGATGTTCCATACCATTCTCGAGGGGCCTCACGTAAGGTTTTGCCCACAATAGTCTTTTTTTCTCCTTTCTCACTGTTCCCCATCTTTCATACTAACTTTTTTCCTTCTGGTCCCGCCAGTGAACAAATAAGCTTATTCTGTACAGCGCGTTGCGGAGAAGGATCATTGTTCCTATTTGCGGCCACCACTCTGCCTGTATTTATAGCTAGAGGTGAAGCACAGACTGCATATTTACATGTTTTGCTACATATCGTAAACTCCACCCTTACTGACCTAATGTTTCGTTTGTCCAAAGTATTTACTTTCACGGACACAGCAGT